AGATTTCTTTAAAATAGGAAGAAAGAATTAATACATAGAAAACAGACAATGTTTTTAAATTTTTCTCAGAGGGCTTTGTCTGATAACCTAGTTATGGCTTCATATAAAATATCCCAAATGGTTGAGCAAAATGGATATCCCCATACAATTTTCGAAAAGTTAGTAGTACTTGCACTGATAATGTTGGCATCTTGTACACGTAATAAAAAAAAAGCAGAACCAGATAAATATATTGTCTCTTTCGACACTTTCACTTCGACAGGGGTACTCTACCAAAATCTTCAAAAAGAGTCACAGTTACCTGTTGCTACCTTAAGATTTTAAAGTAAATAATCCTATAATTTAACTGGAAGAAGCTGACTTTTTAAGAAGCAAAATATTTCAGATCAGCAGGAAACAGGCAATCTGGCATTTTAATGAACAATGGAATTACAATGTTCATTAGTTTATTTATAAGCATGAAACACTTGTGCCAAATTAATATATTTGATGCTTTTTTTTATTCCAAATCTGGTTCATGAATAAACATAATAAAGTGCTTTTGCATGAGCATCACAGACTTTAAACATCATATGTTAATTGTACGACTGCCCAGCTCCACATCAACTTCATCAAAAAGTATCTGAAGAAGGTAATAAAGAGCTCTGGATTCCTTTTTTAACAACCATTAACCTACTGAGATGGCTTTTGAATTTATATATTACCATTTTTGGTTAACATATATTTAAGGGTGCCCACTGAATTATTGCCAAGTTGTTGTTTCATGTATGGTAACCTGAATAGTTGAATGTTATGAAAACTCTATTATGATGTGATTGGTTGCATTATTGTGGTGAATTTGACTGACGAGAAAGTATCAGTTGGATGTCAGTGGGGAAGTACGTTGCGTATTGTGTGCTGTGCATCGTAAAATGGCTGTTGGTGGCAAAGTGGGTGTTTGGTGGCATAGAACGAGACCGCAGAAGTGTTTTTGGTAAAAGTATAGTTTAGGGTACCCCTTGGCGATTTTTGGTGGTACATGGATACCGATTTTACAATTCTTTGACTCGTTATTTTGGCTTGCGAAGCGGCAATTTTTTCGCCAAACATCACCGCTACACAAAGCCAAAATAACAAGACAAACAATTGCATAAACTCGGTATCCATATACACATTGACTTATTTTCACTTTAAAAAAATTCTCTAATTGCACAAAAATGGAATTGTGCACTCCTTTGACTTTATCCATGTACACGTCAACCTAGTTTCACTTAAAAAAAAAAACCTGAATTGCACAAAAATGGCATTGTGCACTCTTTTAACTTTATACATGTACACGTCGACCTATTTTCACTTTAAAAAAATCCAAGAATTGCACAAACTTGCATTGCGCACTCCTTTTACTTTGTCCATGTATACATCGATATATTTTCATTTAAAAAGTCAAAGGAGCACCAAATTCTAAAATATAGGCAAACAAAAAATACATAAGCTCAATAAAATACATTTTAAACCAAACAATAAAAGAACATAAAAAAGGAAAAACATGTTATACATTTAAGCACTACTAAAAGCAAATATTCACTTACCATGATTTTTGAATTCGCTTTGTACACCCAGAGCCACGTAAAAATCAAAATATCAATCATACTCAAATGACGTTTTTTCAAACCAGGTACTCTTTCTGATCGAATGCTTCACATCTTCAGTAACCATCTAAACCTTTCTTCCTACAAACCCATTCAAATCCATCTAAATGGTTTTTACGTTCGACTAGACGCATACCCTTCCTACATACAGGAGACTTATAACAGCTACTAAGTAAACTTTCATTTACACAGCAGTCAATTAAAGCTCTTTTCCCCTTTTGCTCCAAATCACAAAGAAAATTCAAATTAATCTTAGTACATTCGGCCATTTTTCAGTCTAAAGAATCAAACCAACACACACCACAAAAACGCTTACAAAACATCCCATGATTCAAAATTTCCCAGAATCATGCATCCGATATTACGTCACAATAGGGTTTCCATAACATTCAACTACTCAGGCTACCATAAATGAAACAACAACTTGGCGATAAATCAAAGAACAACTTCATCATAATACAAGGGGTACCTTAACCCCTTAACTGCCGCGGGCGTATATATACGCCTTGCTCAGCCGATGCGTTAACTGCCCCAGATGCGCAGCCGATGCGTTAACTTTGCGAATAATTTTAGGTTAAGCAGCGCAAAGCAAATGATAGCAGTTTGGAAGGATGTATATATACGCCTGGGGCAGTTAACGCATCGGCTGAGCAAGGCGTATATATACGCCCGCGGCAGTTAAGGGGTTAAAATCTACTCTACCCGTGGTTTTTTTTTTTTTTTTTTTTTTTTTTTTTTTTTTTTTTTAAAGTGATTGAGGACAGAAGAAAAGAAATTTTGTTGGATATAATTCAATGGAATTATACGTGCCCTGTTTGTATAAAGGAAATGTATGTGGTCGAACATAAAGATTGTTCAAATGGCTTTGAACGGGTTTGTTGCAAGAAAGCTACAAATGCTCACCACACAAAGTGTTCCATTAGAAAGGGAACATGGTTTTACGAAAAGTTTTTGGATGCTATTAAGAAATTTTGTGTGCCACGGACTGAAGACATGGAAATTTCTAAATAAGGTAAGTGGATATTTCCTTTCTATAGTGTTTAGATGCTATAATAAGAATTTCCTTTTTTATATTATTTCATTGTTTGATTTAAAATGCAGTTTATCAAGATTATATATTTTTTGTTTGCCTCTAGTATAGAATTGGGTGGTCCTTTGATTTTTTAAGTGAAAATAAATCGATGTGCATATACACAAAGTCGAGGGAGTGCGCAATGCTGAATTTGTACAATTCTCTTAAGTTTTCTTACATTCTGTTATGTGATGAATTTCACATGAACTGTTTCAGTCATGTAAATTAACATAAACTGAATATACTCTTGATAAATTGTGAAAATATCAAGTATATCAATATGTCACAATGCATTTTATATTTATTATGCAAAACAGTAGCATACATAAACTTTTCAATAGCTATTTTTCATATAATGTTCAATAAGTGTTTATTTATTTACCTGTCCCAAATAGATTCATCAGCTTAATATATTTATATATTCTTTTAAAAAGAAAACAATGTTATCCTCTGCTTATTTATTTATTTTAATACAAGCTCATAAATACAAATAATAATATTTAATCAATATAATTTGTGAGTGGCAATAATATTTAATTTCAGCTAATTGTTATTCTTTGAATTTATATACTATTAGAATGTGGGATCTCTTGACTTGCTTGGTAGAATTTTATGCTGTAAATAAAAACATCCTTATTTGAGAATTTTGGATGCATAATGTTTCTTTATTAAAGAAATTCTTTATTAAAACCTCCATGGAGCCTGGAGCTCCAAGGCAAGTTTAGCTATATAGTTTACCAGAAAATTCGATAAATTTTCAGATTGCACCTTACAATCATTTTGAGAAGTTCTTTTATAAATAAATAAAATTTTAAAAATAAACATAAATACTACAAAAGTTGCAAACACAATTTGATCAAAATTTAATGTATTAAATAAATAATTTACCATACCATAATGTTCCACAGCTTACTTAAATGAGATTGTGCCATACAATTTTAATTTTATTATAAACTAACTACATTTATCACAAAACTTGGATTGAACTACTTAATTTAGTAAAGCATATAAGAATACCTTGCTAGGAAGTTTCATTGAAATTCTGATCAGCAGCCTCTAAGGAAATACATAGCATAAAAAAAAAAGCTTCCTATTGATTTATTATTATGCAATAAATATTATAAGAGTTCATTTATTAACTGAATTACATAAAACAAAGTTTGTTATGAAATTCTGAATCTTTCAACTCTAAACTGAGCAGATTCCGATTCCCTAATTTACAGCCTAGTACATTTTAAGGATGCATCACATAGAGTTAAGAGAATTTATTAAATTAAAAAATTTCTGGCACATCAGTTTTATAAAAACTGATTAATACAATGAAATATTACATTTGCCCTTAGTATTTTTGAAAATAATTTCAGCAGCTTATGCCTTTGCATATAATATCTTGATAATACACATGCATAACACTGACTACAGAAAGGCTACTTTTCATTTTAAGGCATTAACTAAAGATATTATTTGTATAAAGTCTTATAAAGATGCATATCATACTATCTGAAATCCATATTTGAATCATAATCATTACAACTGAAATATATATTTAAATACACTAGTCAAAGCATGCAAAATCTGTTGAAAATTTACTTGTATTAAACCCTTAAATAGTTTTGTGATTAAAACTACTTCATGAGAACAGTTAAGAATATCTGAAATATTATGGATTTGATTATAATGAGCAGTCTTGTTTAACATACAGCATAATACAGTCATGTTTGTTTATTTTTTAAGACTAAACTAAAGATAGCAAGTTATTAATTTAATATCAAATTGAAATTTGCATGCAAAAATAAGCTTCTCAAAAATACATCCCAAGAAGCAAATCAGCAAATATGAAAATTTTATTTCTCGACATTTTCATAGCAATACTCGTATACTCGTCATTTTTAGCTTTATTTCCAAAAATTCAAAAATCGTTCGAGACTAAGTTAATACAATATGAAATTAATTAACTCTTCAATGCCAATAATTTACTTCAAGCTAAAAATGCAAGATTTTCTGCCCTTCCGAAAACTGACATTTCTATACATAAACAATTTAAATAAAAATGCAACGCATAAACAAATTTTAGAGGAACACAACTACTCAGTAAAAATGACATTAATTAATAATTGCTGAATGCTTCCCTAAAATGCGTCTTTTAAGTAATCAAGAAAATGAAGTATTAAAATTAGAATAATTATTTCTCAGCAGAATTTTCAACTATTGACAGTAGTTACCAGAATTTAAAAGAAAAAATGTATATATCCGGTACTCATTTTAAAATACTCTTTAAATAAACTACAGGGAGTACTTACCACCAAGAATAAGGACACGATATTTCGATGCAGCATCTTGCTCAGAATTTGCCATGTTAAACCACTATTAAAAATTATCACGCCGGTATATTGCAATACAATATCAACAAAACAAAAACTCGAAAAAATATTTCGTGGGAAAATTAACGAGTCTGCAAACTACACCCAATGCCTTCCCAGGAGAACGATAGCAGCGCCATCTTCAACTGAAAAATTCATAAAACGTTCAATATTTTTTCTGACACTTCAGGACACATTATTCTGAGCTTTTTGGGACACCTTTCTTTTGAGAATTATAATGCTATAATTAATGCATCATAAGCACAAATTAGATATTTTTGAATAATACCTGCACTTGAAACATATAACCTCGAAGAGGAAAATTTCGTCTGCTACGAATCACTGAAAAAAAAACTAGAAGTGCAATGTCATTTTTCAAAAATTCAACAAGATGGTATTAATAAAAGATAACATTGAAAGAAACATAAATCACTCAACTACTGCGAAACCTAGATTTCATTTTTTAACCAATCAGTTCTTTATTCTTTTTAAGAAATACAATGTTTTATTTATTTATTTATTTATTTTAGAATGTAAGGCCAAGGTATGTGATATCCATAGCAGCAACAGGTCTCCTTTTGCCATGTTCAATTATATAGGGCATTTAATTTACACAGAATAGATAAATCCAAAAATACTATTGTTTAGATATCAACTATTATATGCATATAACTTTCTATAGCGGGATTTAGCATCAACTATAAGAATAATTTTGTCTTCCATCTCCTCTAGCATTTTATATTGATATCTAATAGGCGTCCATGGTGTAAATTTGAGTTTTGGTTTAGTGAAAAGCTAGAAACATGAAGTCAACCATTTTTTAAGTGTTGGAAAGATAGTTTAAATACTGTAGTGAAGGTAATCCTTAAGTCAAGGCAAGATACTTTAACTATAAACTATGAATGCCAAACATTTTAAAATGTGTTTGCTTTACATGTTCAGTATATTCGGTGTATTCCAGTACAAAAACAACTCAGTTAATACGTTGTTTTTTATATACACCGAAAACCAAAAGGTTATAGATGCTCAGTTGTTAAAACGTTGCTTTGTTGTGCTTCAAGCAAAAAATTTAATTAGAATTGACTGATATATTTGTTTCGGCACAGCTCACTGTTCCTCAATTTCACAGATATTCACTTTAAAAATAAAACGACTATTTTTCATTGGGAGATAGTTTAGGATAATAGCTTTAATTATTTTTAAAGTAATTTAAGAAACTTCATAACGTAAATTTATTAATTCATTATTTTTGCATGGTTACGAAAAAATATTACGACTCATTATGAAAAAAGCTTCATTGAATTGTAAAATAAATATATGATAAAGTATTCCTCTGAATAACAGCACTATGCCAACGTTTCTTGAAATTGATATTTTTCTGAAAAGACGCAATGTAGCAAACGGCGTGGCACTATTTTATTACAGTTCTTTCCTCTCTTACATTAAGAAGACATCCTACCACCCATCCGTTCGTTTCGGAAGAACAGCTGTTTGGAACAATTTTTCTACTTTGTCACAACAGCCAGTCATCACAGATCACTTTGGGGTTAACGTGTAAAAGGGAAAACTCTTTTTTCATTACAAACAAGCTGATAGCATTCGTAGCTGATAGTTGATTGGTTGAAAACGAACAACTTGCAATTTTTTTCGAAACGAAGGAAAAAAATCGCGCGTCTTTCTTTCAATAGTAAACTAGGCAGAAAAATTGTCCGAAATAGTTGTTCGTGTAAAACAAATGAATGTGTGATATTGGCCTAAGAGATCGTCTTTTTAAAATCTGCGCTGGGGCCCCAGAAGTGCTAGAAGTTGAGTTCGTATTATTCCTCTCTTTTGGAGATTTTGTTCACCGACTTTCCCTGCTGATACGGAAAGCACTCGACTTTCTCGCCTAATGCGGAACAAAGATTGCCGCTTTAGCTGCATTAAGTTGCCGAAGAGGTTAACAAAATTTGATTGATTGAATTCATGGATTTTCAAATAAATTAACCGTGGAGTGACTTAATATACCACAATGAATAAAACACAGGATTTACCCACTCTAATAATTTTATTAAATATCTTCATTAAGTTCCATACTGGTCAGTGTGCTCTTACAATATCTTTTTATCAATTTTTTTCAAAGTATTCAAATATTTAACATACATATAGCAATTCTTTATCAAATTTCTATAAGACATTCCAATTTTCGAATTTTTTTTAAATGTTTAGATTCATTTAAAGCACCTTCGAATCCGGCTGCACATTTATTAAACTTTAGTATTCGTATTTTACTAAACATTATAAATAGCGTATTTCCTCGAGTATTTTTCTACCAACACCAGACTCAGAAATTTTTAAAAATATTCGCCTAATTTTCCCCTTCCTCAGAGTGTTCAGAGAATGAAATCCCCTAAATTTAAAAATGGATTCGTCAAAGTAGCGATTATTTCCGTTTAGTAGGCCATGCTGAACCTTTTACTTCTAATTGCTGAACTGTATGCCAGCCTAATACAAGAACTGAACAATTACAGTGAAGCAAACACGAAACTAACATTCAATCTATGATTTAGCTGAGTCACCTACACATTTACCTTCTCTAATAACATATGGTTCCCTAACGGTACTATATTTGGAATTGAAAATTCATAGTTAGAAGTTTCTTTTGACGTGTGAGTGCTAAAAGTGCAGTGTGCTATGAATTTTCAAAACCACAGGGAAAGGAAATAATCGTAGCTACATAGTAAAATTTAAATTAAAAGTTTTAAAATCCGTTGAAGTTGATTGGGCCAAACCTGCAAGTAGACAGTTTGGTGTTGAACCTACTTTAATTCGATAGTGGAAGAAACGAAAAGAATGTTCTGGAAAAGGAAAATTCAGAGTAAAAGGCGTTTCGAAGTTTAAATTTCCATAAATTGATAATGAATTACGTTACAGAGCAAAGAAGCAAGGGCATAGCTGTGTCGCATGAAGTGAAAGAAATGAAAGCTAGGTAAGAAGGTAAAATACATGGTAGTACAGCCGAACACTTTAAAGCAAGAAAAGGAAAGATTGATTGTTTCATGAAAAGAAATGGACTTATTTTAATGAGAAGAACAATGCTTGCACAACAACTATTGGAGAATAGTGAAGGAAAGGTATTACAATTTCACATGTCAAATATTACGATTAGGGTGTTGCAGGTTAGGGTCGCAGGTTTCACTAGAACGAGAAAAATCCAGAAATCTTCTATTGAATGGATTTGCTCCTGGATTTTGGGTGCATGGGCTCTGATTGATGAACAGATAATAATAGTGGGTTATCGAATGCTCTCGATGGTTTTGAAGATCATTACATGTCGGAAGATAGAGGTAAAGGTGACGATAACGGTGACGATTTGCATCTGTATCAGAAGACGCAGACAGTAGTGAATGATTTCAGGCATAAGGAGTAGCACAGACAACAATAAGAACGGGAGAGATTCAACATAACAGTAAAAATGGAGATATGAGCCATGAGCCATGTTTTTAAAGTACGTACCGTTTGTAAATAACTGAGAAACAAATAAAACTTTCAGAATTTATTTTTACATGAAAGCCTATATCTCAATCTATTTTTCTATATAATTTCCGCCAATATTAAGACACTTATCATACCGCACAATCATGTTTTTGAATCCCTTCTTCATAGATGTCCGCCGCCTGAACTGAGACCTACTGCATGGTCATTTTGACCTCATCATCATCGTTGTACGAAGACCTCCAGACGCTTCAAGTGCAGAAACAGGTGGTCTGCACGATCTTTACTAGACGCTAGATCGAGACTATACGAAATATGATCAAGTTGTTCTCAGCGAAATGACGCGATGAGATCTTGAGTTCATTTAGCCGCGTGTGGACGGGCATCGTCATAAAGCAAAACAATCCTCTTACTCAGCATGCCAAGTCTTTTGTTTTGAAATGCACGGCGCAGTTTGCTTAAAATGTCACAATACAACGTAGAAATTATTGTGTCACTACGAGGCAAATAAACCACAGGCAACACCCCTTTCTGCCCTAAAACACAGGAAACACGGTTTTTTGGACTGACATTGTTGCTTGAACTGCACTCTCTTTTGGGTGAGGATGAATGCCGCCCTCTCATTGTTTGTTGCTTCGATTCTGGTGTAGTGTAAGCCACCCAGGATCTCGGCTTAAAAATCATCATATTCCTCAGTGTACCGCTGAAAGAAAGCAGAGCCTAAACTGGTTTTGTGCACCTCTGTAAACATTTTCGGTATCCAGAGTGCTCACAGTTGTCGATAATTTTATACAGAACACTGCGTGAAAGTCGAGGAAAATTATAAGATAATAATGAAGTTATAAATCTGTCTTGTTTCACTCGTTATGAAATTTTTGCACCAAATCTTCAGTATTGACAGAAGGTCGCCCACTTCGTTCATCATCACGAACATTCGTACAGACATCTTTAAAATCGCTAATCCATTTACATACGATACTATCGCTCATAATTTTTCTCCTGACGTTTACTAATTTGATGATGAATTTTAGCCGTTTTAGCATCTTTATCACTAAGAAATCATCGATCGTATTTCACAGTTGACGGATTTTTTAATTGGTAATGCCATTTTAAATACTACAAAACAAACATTAACACTGTCGAAAATTTCCCTAATGGCGCCTGGAGATTGCTAATAGGTACAGGTAAACAGCGCGCACAACGCTGAGTACCGACCGAAGAGCAGCCACGTCAAAATTTCAAAACGGTACTTACTTTAAAAATATCGTCGAGTTCCATTTTCTGAAGTGATCAGACCTTTCATAAAATTTACTCTTTCGTATACACAGAAAAGGAGGGAAAATACGTAAATAAATACAATATGTTACTCAAATGCTAACTTCAACATGTTTCTAAACATTAAATGCAGATTCCGTAGACTTTAAAAATATTTCTCAGCGTTAACTTACAATTAGCAATCAGTTAATAATAAAACCAATCGCATAACCAATATAATACAACATTAACTAATAGCTGGAGTCCAAGGCTTTACTACCAGACTAAAGTTTCTTGACTTGAGACATCACAGTTCCTAAGTATCCGTTGTGTCTTAAAGAAAGTACAGTATTTCTCAAAAGTTCGGGATCGTCGAGTTCCATTTTCTGAAGTGAT